TTTTTTGTGGTGTTTTTTTGTTGTTGTCGGTTTTTTGTATTGTTCTGGTTTTGTGCATTCTATTGCATTGGGGGGTTTTGGAGGGGGAGGGAGGGGGGAGGCAGGTTAAAAAAGAAAAAAGGAAGGGAGGAAAAAAGGAGGAGGAGAAGGAAAAAAGAAGGAGGGAAAAAGAGGAAAAAAGAAGGAAAAAAGAGGAAAAAAGAAGGAAAAAAGAGGAAAAAAGAAGAAATAAAAAAGAAGAATCTGGTTCTGCGCAGAAGAAAAAAGGAAAAGGGAGGAAAAGAAGAAAGAAGAAAAAAGAAGAAGAGAAAAAAGAAAAAGGAGAATAAGATAAAAAAGAAGAAGAAAAGAAGAAGAAGAGAAGGAAAAAAAGAAGAAAAGAAGAAGAAAAGAAGAAAAAAGGAAGAAAAAAGAAAAAAGAAGAAAAAATAAGAAAAGAGAAGAAGAAAAGGAAAGGAAAAAGAAAGGAAAAAGAAAGGAAAAAGAAGAAAAGAAGGGAAAAGAAGAAAAGAAAGAAAAAGAAAAAAAGAGGGAAAAAAGGAAGGAAAAATTGAAAAAAAGGAAAAAAGGAAGGAAAAAGCAAAGAAAAAAAAGGAAGGAAAAAGCAAAATAAAAAGGAAAAAAGGAAGGAAAAAGCAAAGCAAAAAAAGGAAGGAAAAAGCAAAATAAAAAGGAAGGAAAAAGCAAAGCAAAAAAAGGAAGGAAAAAGCAAAGAGAGAAGGAAGAAAGGAAGGAAAGCAAAGAAAAAAGGAAAGGAAAGAAGAAATAAAGGAGGAAAAAAGGAGGAAAAAAGAAAGAAAAAGAGGGAAAGAAGAAAAATGAATAAAGAAAAGAAGGAAAAAAAAGAATAAAAAAAGAAGGAAAAAAGAATAAAAATAGAAGGAAAAGGAATGAAACAAAAGAAGGAAAAAAGAAGAAAACAAAAGAAGGAAAAAAGAAGAAAACAAAAGAAGGAAAAAAAGAAGAAAAAGAAGGAAAAAAGGATAAAAAAAAGAAGACAAGAAGAAAAAAGAAGAATAAAAAAAAAAAAGAAGGAAAGGAAAAGAGCAGGAGAAGGAAAGGGAAAAAAAAAAGGAAGATGGGGAAAAAGGAAGCCCCCTCCCCCTCCCAAAAAAAAAAAAAAAACCAAAAACCAAACCCAAAACTGCAGTCATATCTGGGTCTCCTGGACCTTGTCCTTGGTGTGGGTCTGGATTATATAGGGCTCGGCCAGGGTGGTGCCGGGGGGGTGCAGAGAGTTGCCCAGGCTGTTCTCTGTCCAGTGGGCCCCGTGGGGGGGTTTGTAGGTGTTGTAGTTAATGTGGTCATGGATGGCGGGCAGCACCACCGCCCCCTCACCTGCTCCCGGGGTGGCCCCCCCGGCGGTGGTGGTGGTGGTGGCGGCGGCGGCGGCGGTGGTGGCCGTGGAGGGTGGTGGGATGTCCTCGTCCACCTGGATGATCTCCACCGTCCGGGCGGCCGTCACGGTGCTGCGCTGCTGGTGTCGCTTGCGGAGTTTGTAGAAGACGATGAGCATGGCGGCCGCCAGCAAGGTGACGGCCACGAAGCAACCGATGATGATCTTGGTGGTCTTCATCACCTCGTCCAAGCTGGTTTGCATCCTATCGCCCGCCTCGGCGGTGGGGAGGGCCACCTGTTTGGGTGGCCGGGTGGTTTGGACCAAAACGGTGGTGGTGGTGGTGTAGGCCGGTTGGTAACCCGTCGAGGTGGTGGGGACCGGCTTGGTGAACTTAGGGGAGATGTCCTCCGGGGAGATCTCGGTGGTCTCCACCGTGACGGTGGTGAAGAAGCTGTAGTTGGAGGTGTTGAGCTCGGCCGTGCTCACGTTGAGGTAGGCCGAGGCGTTGGAGTTCCCCGCCACGTTGGTCACCATGCAGGTGTAGACCCCGGTGTCCGTCAACAAGACGTGGGAGAAGTTCAAGGTGCCGTCGTTGAGGACGGAGATGCGGGGGTGGCTGGAGGCGTGGCTCAGGACCGTCCCGTTAGGCAACAACCACCTAACGGAGGACATGGAAGGAGTTCGACACTTGAGCTCGGCCACCCGCCCCTCCGAGATGTTGAGGTCCATGGGGGCGTCCATGATGAAGGGCGCCGAGCACTGGAAGGAGGTCTGGTCCACCTCCACCAGGAACCTGCCCCGCATGTGGAGGGGGGCATGGCAGCGCCCGCAGCAGGTGGAGTTGGTGGGGATGTACTCCCTCAACCACCAGGAGAGCCAGAGGATGTCGCAGTCGCAGTCCCAAGGGTTGTGGTGCAGGTGGAGCTCCACCAGGTAGCGCAGAGGGGCGAAGAGGTCGTGGGGCAGGGAGGAGAGGTTGTTGTGGGCCAGGTTGAGCTCCACCAGCGCCGTCAGGTCGTCGAAGGCGTTGCGTTCGATCAGGTTGATCTGCGAGTTCATGATCCAGAGCTTCTTGAGGGACTTGAGCCCATGGAAGGAGCCGGGTTTGATCTCGGGGAAGTTATTGCCCGACATCTCCAGCTCCTCCAAGCCCACCAAGGGCGTCAGGTTGGGCATGTCCTTAATGTTGCACATCCCCAGGTTGAGGTACTTGAGGTTGTACAACCCTTCGAAAGCCCCCTCGGAGATGTACTCCAGCTTCTTCAGCTCGCCCAGGTCCAGGCGCATGAGGGAGGGCACCCGGTTGAAGGCGTAGGAGGGGATGCTCTCGATGGGGTTGTTCCTCAACCACAGCTCCCGTAGCTTGGAGAGGTACTCGAAGGCCCCGCTGGGGATGACGGTCAACCAGTTGTCGAAGAGCTCCAAGGTGTTGAGGCTGGCCAAACCGTTGAAGGCCCCGACCTCGATCTGCCGGATGGAGTTCCTGCCCAACTGCAGGACCTCCAAGTGGTGCAGGTGCCGGAAGGTGTCCGCTTGGATCATCTGGATGTTGTTTTCCATGAGGTTGAGATAACGGGTGTTGGAAGGGATGCCGGGGGGCACCTCGGCCAGGCCCCGCCGGGTGCAGACCACCTTGCTGAACTGGTTACTGCAAGAGCAGACGGAAGGACAACTTTGGGGTCCGGGGGAGGCGGCGGCCACGTAGAGTATCCAAGCGTGGAGGGTCAAGTAGGAGACCAGGGCAGGTCCACCAGCGCGGTGACGGTGAGGAGGAGGAGGATGGTGGTGGTGGTGGTGACGGTGGTGGTGGTGGTGCACAGTTACCTGCCACAAGAGCTTCATGATGTGGCACGTTCATCATTCACCATCCTCTGGGGGGATGTCGGCGTGAAAAAAGGGAGAAAGTGGCTCCAAGGGGGACAACCCCCACCCCCCCTACCGCCAGGAAGTTTCCTTCTGCTGCCACAAACCACAGAAAACACCTCGTCCCCACTAACCCACCTCCGTGCTTTGAAGACTTTCTGCTCTGAGCACTGGGACAGACTCTGGAGGGATGATGGGGTGGAACAGGAGCAGCAGGTCTCATGTTTTCTCACAAAATTAATATTGAAACACTATACACGTGGCAAGATTTCAAAGACAGCTACAGACCTGTGGTGGGTCACAATTCAACTTACCACTGAGAGGGTGAGGAATGGTGTATTGCTTTTTTTTGCTTGAAGTACATGTTGAGGAAAGCTTGCGAACAAGGGCTGCTTGGTTGCCTGCAGGAACATCGCTCTGTTGGGCTTTTCTCAGCTGGACCATGTGTTCGAGCCTCCTCAGCCTTTCTTGTGAACGAGAGATGAACTCAGGCTTATGGATTTCCAGTGCTTCCTAAACGCAACACAGAAACCACTTTGTTTTAAAAAAAAATTAAAAGGAAGAAAATGTGAAAAAGAAAGAAAATTTGAAAAAGGAAAAAAAAATTAAAAAGGAAGGAGGTTTAGAAAATGAAAAAAGAAATGAGGAAAAGATAAAATAAAAAAAGAAACGAGAAAAAAAAATGGAATCGGAGTGGAAACTAAAAATAGAAAGTAAAAAAAAAAAAAGATC